CCCGTCAATGTGGCGAAACTGGGTAGAACGTTTTGCCCCATTAGGATACAATGAATTTCGTTGGAGAAAATAGCTATTTGGGAGGAAAAGAATTATCCGAATTAGCTAAAGTAGGGGAAAGCTACTCATGGCTGAACCCAACTTTTGATTCATGGAAGTTATGAAAAATTGCCATTTAAATAGAAACCTGACTCTTAACCAACACAGCTTAAAATGGGGGGGAGGGGGGTGCTGCATTATTTATACATTGCACATTCACCTGTTCCCGCGGTGCGCGGATTCAGGATGGAGGGGTATCTTTAATGCATATGGAACAGCTAATTATAACTCTAGTGGCACAGTAATTCCATACGAATTCTCAATGGTTAACATTGGCAACGGAATGGAACTGTCTACAGGAATTTTTACTGCACCCATGGATGGTATCTATGTTTTCCAGTTTCATTTCTTTAAATATTATGATATGGTGATGAACAAAGCATCATGCACATCAGGCAAAATGGGCTGGAGAGAGGGGCCATGGAGAGTTACAGTGAAACTAATACTTCTGATTGGGACATGGTCGGTCAATCCGTGATTCTTGAGCTCGGGATGGACGGCGAAGTCAATGTCTTCCTTGATAAAGGAAGAGTATATGGAGGCGTGGCTAACATATATACACATTTTGTGGGATACTTGTTGCAACCCCTGTAAAAAGACGAAAAGGAAAATGTATGAATTAAGTGCGAATGAGTATGAAATAAAATTCGTCGGGACCATCTTCCATTTTCTCGTTGGGTCTGCTAGTGGTCAAATGGGCGAATGCGGCTCGTGCGCGTGGAAGCGCTGGGACTCCCTGGGGGATTGCTGAGTCCCAAAAATGGCGCATTATGTATAAATTGCTTAAATTTTTTTGTAATTTTTTTTTTACTGTGCCCTCGGATTAACTTCAATCATTGACTTCAACCCTGGTTTCTCCCAAAGTCCGTATTTATAGATATCTATGGACAATTCGGTGGAGCCGCGAAGTTAGGATTTCCTCGCTCGAGAATAGTTTCTACTTACCACTTTCATGATAGTAGACTCCGCGACGCCACGATTTCCTGACTGCAATCGGTGACCCATGAGGGCCTTCGACAGTTGACAGCTCGTTTGAGGCAAAGCTCGCTTCTGCGGTTCCTCTGGCGCCACTCTCGACGACCCATTATTTTGTCGGACTCAGTCTCGTCGGAGGAAAAATTCGTATCAATTCGTCAAATGAAAATTCGTCTCGTGTTTGGCGATGTGGCAGATAGTCCCACTGAGTTTCCGTCGCGAGATCACGCTGTCCAATGAATCGACTTGAGGTAATTGCATCGGAGGAAAAATTCGTATCAATTCGTCAAATGAAAATTCGTCTCGTGTTTCGCGATGTGGCAGATAGTCCCACTGAGTTTCCGTCGCGAGATCACGCTGTCCAATGAATCGACTTGAGGTAATTGCGTACATATTCCCCATACCAGCGTTCCCTCACTCAATGAAATTCGAACTTGAAGGGAAAAAATGACAGCCGCCGTGCTTTTTCTCTCCTGCAATCGTCCCGACGACGAGGACAATGCTCGTGTTTGTGTCACATGTATCCCTCTGCGGCGTGCTGACGAAACTCTACAGTAGAAGAACTTACGCGTTTCCCTCGAAAATAAAACTAATCAAGACAAGCATGCTCCAATTTTAACTTTGCGACTCTCCACGAAGAGCCCTAAACCATGGCGAGAATTGAACAAATGATCAAATTTGTTTCCTTAATGCTTTCAATCGAAAATAGACTTTTTGGATATGATGAGGTTCCCGCACATACTCCTGAGCTAAACTTTATGAATTTTTAAATTCTGAAGAATTTCAATGAATCCCAATTTTCAAGATAAGCAAAAAAATGTTTTCATACGTATTGCAGAATCGTCTAATTTTTAAAGCAGGTATGGCAAATTTTCGACATTACCCATTGCCCATTCAAGTTGTGGCCCAGTTCATTTTTTTACGTGGCCCCTTGCGATGCACTAATAATTAAATATTATATATTTTTTCCAACATTCGTATTGATTACTGGGATGAATAATTCTGCTTGCCGATTTGTAATCTTTCCCTCAAAACTAGCAGGTTCACTCAGTGTTAAGGCACTCACGTCCAGAGGATTGACGAAAGTTTCCGGAAAAAATTTTTTAGCCCAATTTTTCCTATTCTTGTGATAATATGCGCGAAAGTTTTGATAAAAATGGCGATTGACAGTTTGTTTACCGGTAGCGTAAATGTCATCACTCTTTTCCCATTTACACGCGTTTGCAACTGCAGGTTTTGTCCACCAAAGTTTCTTGTGCAGGCGCAATGGGAAAACTTAAGGAATTAACTTCAGCTCAATGGGGTGCTATATTTTATTGCCGTAAGCGTGGTGACAAATACAGCACTGTATAAAACACCAGTAACTGACCCATATATTGAAGTAATAATAGAAGCAAATTCCTCGAACCTATAGATGAGTCCTCCTGCACTGTGACAACTAAAACACAACCCCATCCCGCGCGCGACTGTGTCTGCTTTTCGTGGCAGGGTGTGGGGCCCATTGTTCCCGGTGAGTACTCCAATGAAAAAGAAAATAACAGTTACGAAATTTATTCAAATAATTGTGATTCCGATAGTGAGGATGATTATTCAAATACAATGCTTTTCTATGCATAAATATGCAGCCCCTGTGTAACATAATCTGCAAAAGTCGTGATGAAAGTGTCTGGAAACTAAAATGTTACGAATAGTGTATTTTACTACTGTCAAATGTTATCGTATTATAATGGTTACCAGTCTGAGATTTGTTTTAAAACGGACTTTCCATTTAGTAGAACATATAGTGCCTTTACTCTGAAAGTTTCATGCCTCTAGCTTGTATAGTTTAGTCCGAATATGACTATAGTTGACACAGCAAGAAATAGGCAGTTCCTACCATTGTAAATGTGGCTGCCAAGTCATTTGCCGTTTGCCAGGAGTGCCATTTAAAGAAGGATAGAAGGGTTTAACAGAGCGTCAAAAAAGGTGATCATTCTTGTACAGTGGATGCCCGAAAACCTCTTTGAAAACACGCTTAACGTCCTCGAGAGAGCTTATGTGCTACTTGGTCAATGTCATATGTATACAGTCTGCAGGTCTCATTTGATCCGTAATTATCATTGGTACCCGATCAATGAATGGAGCATTATGTCAACAAAGGCGAAGAGAAATAAATGGCCCCTACTTCATCATGAACGCATGAAATCCCTGAATTCCCGGCAGCAGACGGGAGACATTGCAGCGAGCGACGCCATCGTCCCCTTGCGGGTACAACGGCAACTCTCTTTTCCTCGTTCTTCCGAGAGGTGGCGAGACGAAAGCAAAAATTCCGATTTTATTCGGTGAAATGTTCTCCCCTCCCTTTCGTGAGGCCGATTTGTAAATTTCACTTCAAAAAGGCATATCCTCGGATGATAAGGAAGAGTTCTGTCGAAACCCCAAATTCATATCTCGAAGCTTTTGGCCTGTAAAGCTGTCACACACATACAAACGCACAATGGTCTGTCGACCTAGCTTGCGACCAAGATCGGGCACGCTATATGTTTAATCTCCGGTTTACAAAATAAATTAAAAAGAAAAAAGTAGCCAACTTTAAGAGGAGTGAGCATACTCTATGGTATTGGTAGCGAAACGCTCAACCTCAACGTGAGATATCCCTATGGGCGAAATCGCCTCTTGATGTCTCTTCCCAAACCTTGATACACTGACCTGGAAGTCGAACTTTTCTAATGAAACTCGGACACGGGCTGGCAATGACTATATATATAACGTATATAACGTATATCAATATATATAACGTATAATATATATAACTGCAATATAACGTATCATATTCCCAGGAAAACATAAACAGTACTTCAGAAGTGAACAAAGAAGTGAACACGAAAGTTAGCGGTCCATGCACTTGACACCCGACCGAAAGCCTTGCATTTCAATGCGCCATGGTCATGTATACTCGAAGCGTAACTGATACGGCATATGAACCGGAGATTTACTCTCTCGTCTGAACATGTAAACACGAACACTCGATCGCTGATGTCGTCGGCCGTGTTCCAGTCTCTGTTGTGCTGTCATCGCATGAGTGTCATAGGAAAGTAGCAGCCGGGTTTACCGTTAGCAGGTGAGGTCACGGAAGGAAAAGTCATCCAAAGAAAGTTTTGGGGAATAAGTCCGTCGAAATTTTCTAACGAATACAGATCCATTTTCCGGGTTCACATCTCACATTCCTACTTGTCAATTTCATTGCAGCACTAATAGTAAAGTTCTTCTCTTCACGAAATAAACAGTGGAATGCTATAAATCTTGGAGGATAATATACGGTCCAGTCACAGCAAAAGGATTTGGGGTCCGCTTTCTTTTTGAAGTAATTATTTATTTAAGTCAAGAGGCACAAGTCCAATACTGACTCACTCCTTCGAAAATTGCCAATATGTGTTTATTTGGGTCTCAGTTACCTCTAAACATTCATGCTGTTCAGTCGCAGTATCGCCAAGCTCATTCGCTCATTCCAACCGGTTATTCAATTCAAAATTTCTTCTTACCCTGTCTTGAAAAACGGAGAGGAACCTATCATTTCATTTTTCTGTCTTTCCAGGCCAGGAGAATCCAATCGAGAATGGCCTTAATGGGCTTGCCACGCCTCCTCCTTCTTTCAGTCATCCCAGCTTCAACATTCGGAGAAGTAAATCCAATCCAGACCATCCCCGCATGGCTCATTAAAACGTCCACGCGATTCCCCCAAGCCAATCACTTTTTGAAGGAAAGGACTCGATGACATTTCTACTCAGGCTATCTCTTGGCAGCATAAGCAAGTTCTGTCATTCTCCTGACAAAATCACATTTCCACTTCGCCCCAATTGCAACCTGTTATTCGACGGCATGGTCCCCTTTTAAACTTTCTTTGAGAATATCAATTACATTAAACTCGTCGAACGATCCTATAGCTAATGCTGGTCGTCGGACAAAATCGTCCCTCTCACTCGCGCATGGACCATGCATCTCATTTCCTTCCAAATGATTTTCACCGCTGGAGGCTGCGCCTCACGATCGACCCTGGCCTCCCAAGCTCCCTCTCATTGTGTCTGCACTCCTCGGATTCAATTTACGGTGAATGGTTTTCGGTCGCTTATTCATCTGCTGAAGAGAATTTGCAGCGATTGCGCAGCGAATACGAGTTGAGACCGCATGGAGACTTTCTAACAGCATTGTAAGGAGTCATGCGATGAATTAGGGTGTGCTGATATTGCTCCTTTCATTTTCGAATTTTGCCAATACAACGTGGTCAAAAAAAGTATCAGTGCGCGACCTTTCCCCCGAAGTCTATATAGGTTTTATTCTTCCTCTTTCCAGAAACTTCCAATCAATTCCACCTTAGGACTGAAAGGGAGCGAGCCCAACTCTGATGTGTTGTCAGCTTTGATAGCAAAAACTGAAGAACACACTCAAATTATCGCACGACTGGAGCTCGCCATCAGGCACGAATGGCAGGAAAAAGAAATCTTGAGGAATGAGCTCAAGAGATTTCGTTTTCTCGAAAGAGAAAACGAAAACCTGAGGCACGACTACGAAAAAATCAAGTCTCACCTCGAGGAAATTCTGCTCGAGAGAGACGAGAAAATGAGGCTTCAGCTGGATACTATAGAAGAACGATTCCAATATCTGGAGGCTATCACCCTGCAAATCAGTGAGTTCCGACATTACGAAGATCGCACAGAAGATTTTAAATAATTTCATATCGCCATGTTTGTGTCGCAGCGCCCCGAACTTGCCAAACTCTGTCAAACTTGGGAGTGAAGCGGACAGGAAGGTACTTCATAGACCCAGACGGGGCTCTTCTTGGCGATCCACCGATCAAAGTGCTCTGTGACATGGATACAGGTCAGAGCGGTGGAATTCATATTCATGCCCATGCAGTGATAAATGTAGCTAGAGGAACTAAACTGCATTTGGTAACATATTAACAATTATATTTTTTTAAATCTAGTATCTACCGTTGTTCTTCATGATTCGATGAAGAATGACAGCGAGATAAGCAATTGTGCTGCTCCTGGCTGCTCCGCTCGAAGAGTTTCTTACGATGCATCCTTGAAGCAGATGATGGCATTGATGAATCAGTCGCATTCTTGCCACCAAGGAATTAAAGTGAGTCCAATACTTCTACGGAACAATGGTTCACAAAATATAATTCAAGTAGCTTTCAGCTGATGTTGCTGTAACAATTCATGAAAATCTGGAAGAAAAACTGCAGCATCTGACTAGAGAGTGTGATAAAGTGACATTCACGAACACATTGAATTTCTCTTTCAGTACGACTGCAGTTCGGCAGCCCTTAGTACTGGAGACGTACACTACGCCTGGTGGATGGACCGCCACGGCCAGCCTCAGTATTACTGGCATGGGTCAAATGCGACAAAGCACACGTGCAAGTGCGGGCTCTCCGGGGACTGCGTCGACCTCAACTTGCCTTGTAACTGCGATTCGGAAGCCCCGCAATGGGAATCCGACTCGGGAGAGATTACGAACAAAACAGCCTTGCCCATCGCCGAGCTTCGATTCGGAGGGCTGCAGTTCGCGGGCCAGAAGGCGAAATACACACTGGGCGGATTGGTTTGCACGGGTGAGGCTCCTCAGAAGGAGAATCCAGCAACATCGTGCTCGTCCCTGCGCCAGGCCGGAAATGCGCGCACGGGTTACCATTTGATTAGCAGGAAAAATGGACGGTTGGATGTTGTTCTTTGCCGGATGGATTTGGAGGAAACCGATCTAAGGTTTCAGGTGGAGACAGGTGCTCGCATTCAGGACGGAGGGGTTATATTCGATGTATACAGAACATCCCCTTATTATACTGTTGGCACAGTAATTCCATATGAATTCTCAACGGTAAACATTGGCAACGCAATGGAATTGTCTACAGGAATTTTTGCCGCACCCGTCGATGGTGTCTATGCCTTTCAGTTTCATTTCATGAATAATGATCTCGGTGGCGATCACATGATATACCTCAGACAAAATGGGCTTAAGCGAGGTGCCATGATGAAGCATAGCGGGAAAAGTGATTACGACATGTTAGCTCAGTCTGTCGTTCTTGAGCTCAGAATGGGCGACAAAGTTGATGCCTTCCTGAGAAGCGGAAACGTAGGCTATTTCCCTTCCGAAATGTACAGCCATTTTGTAGGACTCTTATTACAACCCTTGTGAAATGACGGAATGGAAAGTGCAGAGCGCTCGCTTCCTAGATTTATTTTCCATAATTCATATTCACTTCATTTTTTGTATCTCCTTTCCTGATAAAATAAATTAAATCTTCAATCATAATTCTCTGTCCAAGAAGAATATACACATGGTGTCTCGTAAAGAAGTACCCATTTTTATCTCTTGATTGCAACAAGCATACACAAATTTCCAGTTGAAAATTATTTGGAACGGGTAGAGTAACCGTTTCAATTTTGTTTAAAGTCGGTGCCATTGTCATGCTTCTTCCCAGTCTGTCCATTGAAAACGGCATTTGTAATGGCACTCGGTCGATTGTTGGAGATAAGAAAGATAACGTGATCAAAATCGAGATAATCACCGGAAAGTTACATTTACTGCCACGAGTGTCACTCGACGCAGCAACCAGGTGTTCCCTTCAACACGTGCCGAAGAGAATTCCCGATTCGTTTTGCCTTGCGGTTTGACCAGCGACAAGGTCCAGGGACGAACGTTTCACATGGCTGGTTCTCTTGCTGCCTTTTTTCTCTCAAGGTCGTTGCGTTGCGTGTTCTCGAGTCCGGTGGGCCGATTGCCTCAAGATCCAAGTGGTCGATGGGCCAAGGTCGACCGATAATGGCGCTTTAACTGAAAATTTCGTGGAAAATTAAGTAATAATTAATAACAATTAAGTAAATTAAGTACATAAATCTGTTTCGCTATCGAGTTTTGTGTTCTTCATTCCGATTTTCAGAATTACATTTGCGTGATTTGCTCTATTCTACTAAGCTTGCTAACATGTCAGATTTTGTGATCATTTCTCTCATATTGATTTCCAAAATAAGTGATTTTCCTTAATTTTTCGCTTTCCGAATTTGAAATGATCGTTTCCATTCATGATTCATTCCTTCATTCGTGATTTATTTTGGAGCTGCGGTCTCGATGATTATAAAATTGGCTCGGTGGCAACACTCTCGAACTTCTCGAAGTTTGTTACACAATTTGTAACGTTTGATTGGAACGGAACTGCTTCATATCTTCATTTAAACATTTAAAAATTCCCGCCCATCAGACGGCCAGCGTAGCGGCCGCAGCCCGCTTGTAAATTCCACTGTGGAGTTGGTGATGGAAGTCGGTGTGCGCGCGCACACATGACACACGCCTGCGCTAAGCGCGATCGCGAGTGATCTCCCCACCGTCTTCTGCCTGCCTGTACGTCTCCCACTCCCGGATCTATTCTCGAGAACATAATAGCCTGGGGAGGGGGGGAGGGGGGAATTCGGAGTGTGTATGACATAAAGGGACGAAAAGAAGATGATGGAAGGTGCAGGAATTGAACCCAGAGGCTCCTTGTTGCGACTTCAGTGTAACACCAATACATGAAGCTTCATCTCTCTATGCCGTCCCCTAACCTTTAACCCCCCCGATTGATATGATACTTACGGGGTATCATATGGACTGTTCCGCAGGAACGTGTGAAACGACCCCTTTCATTTCTAAGGGATGGACGACTTCCTCGCCGGTATGAGATCTCCGCCCATATTTTTATCGGGATCACACCTATTAGTACAGGAGCGCTTACTTTTGAATGGGAAAGACGACGTCGGCGGCGTCGTAGCCATTCCGTTTCTCTATCACCAATTTCTCGAGCGGGTCTCAAGTTCAAGGCCTGCCCTTCCTGAGATTGCTTGGCCTACGAAGGTGATTACGTTACGTCGCCCTTGCATGCCCTTGCATCATCACAGTTTATCTACTTTTGCACCCGGTCTGAGGCATGAAGTCAAACGAACTTTCAGTTCGTCTGACGAAGTGACCGTTGAAAGGCATTGCATAGGCTGAAGGAGACGAAGGGCAACCACGAGTTGCACGGTGAGTTGTTGGCAAGTCTTGGCATGGCATACTACCGTCCTCAGCAAGGGTCGTCCATTAATCGTGCTCTTGCTCTTTTCCTCTGCGGTGGCGGTGGTGGTCCGTAGCATGGGCGCGCGCGCACACACATGACACGCGTGCGCACAGCGCGATCGCGTGTGCTCTATTCATAGAGTATTCTGCCTGCCTCTGGGTGTACGTCTCCCTCTCTCGCGCACGCATTATTTTTACGGCTGTTACGACTGTCGAGAATGTAATGGCCCCGGAGGAGGGGGGAAGAGTTCGGATGATATAGGAGAACGAAAAGAAAGTAGTAGAGGCAGCGGGAATCGAACCCAAGGACTCTTAGCGATTAATTGCGCTACCACTACACCAACGAACACAGTACATTTATTGCAACTCTCCATGCCGTCCATAACATTACAACTGGAGAGAGAGGCGTTCCACTCACACCCCCCGCCCCGTATTTAGCGCTGTATAACTTCTAAATAATATTTTCTCAGTTTGATGAATCTGAACGTAAATAAAAAAAAAAANAGTTGGTGATGGAAGTCGGTGTGCGCGCGCACACATGACACACGCCTGCGCTAAGCGCGATCGCGAGTGATCTCCCCACCGTCTTCTGCCTGCCTGTACGTCTCCCACTCCCGGATCTATTCTCGAGAACATAATAGTCTGGAGAGGGGGGAAGGGGGGAATTCGGAGTGCGTATGACATAAAGGGACGAAAAGAAGATGATGGAAGGTGCAGGAATTGAACCCAGAGGCTCCTTGTTGCGAGTTCAGTGTAACACCAATACATGAAGCTTCATCTCTCTATGCCGTCCGATAACCTTTAATCCCCCGATTGATATGATACTTACGGGGTATCATATGGACTGTTCCGCAGGAACGTGTGAAACGTCCCCTTTCATTTCTAAGGGATGGACGACTTCCTCGCCGGTATGAGATCTCCGCCCATATTTTTATCGGGATCACACCTGAATCATGTCCTCGCGAATGAAAACTTACCCTTTCTGCTGCAGCCGCCGCAGCATCGGTAAGGCAAAGAGATAGTGGTTAAAGAGCTCGCCCAGAGTTCAAGTTCCGGACGGGAAGGACTCTAACGAAGGCCTACGAAGGTGATTACGTTACGTCGCCCTTGCATGCCCTTGCATGCCCTTGCATCATCACAGTTTATCTACTTTTGCACCCGGTCTGAGGCATGAAGTCAAACGAACTTTCAGTTCGTCTGACGAAGTGACCGTTGAAAGGCATTGCATAGGCTGAAGGAGACGAAGGGCAACCACGAGTTGCACGGTGAGTTGTTGGCAAGTCTTGGCATGGCATACTACCGTCCTCAGCAAGGGTCGTCCATTAATCGTGCTCTTGCTCTTTTCCTCTGCGGTGGCGGTGGTGGTCCGTAGCATGGGCGCGCGCGCACACACATGACACGCGTGCGCACAGCGCGATCGCGTGTGCTCTATTCATAGAGTATTCTGCCTGCCTCTGGGTGTACGTCTCCCTCTCTCGCGCACGCATTATTTTTACGGCTGTTACGACTGTCGAGAATGTAATGGCCCCGGAGGAGGGGGGAAGAGTTCGGATGATATAGGAGAACGAAAAGAAAGTAGTAGAGGCAGCGGGAATCGAACCCAAGGACTCTTAGCGATTAATTGCGCTACCACTACACCAACGAACACAGTACATTTATTGCAACTCTCCATGCCGTCCATAACATTACAACTGGAGAGAGAGGCGTTCCACTCACACCCCCCGCCCCGTATTTAGCGCTGTATAACTTCTAAATAATATTTTCTCAGTTTGATGAATCTGAACGTAAATAAAAAAAAAACAATTTAATCAGGAGCATCTTTGGGCCACCATGTTCTAGAATTATCTGCGGATTGGGAGATTGAAAACTCACGACGATAACCATTAGCGCTGATGATGTCGCTCTCGTTCCTCGTCGAAGAGGTTCTTCGCTGCATAAAGTTTGTCCGATCCAGTCGCCTTTGAACGGGTGTCAATGCCATTGAACTTTGAGATTTCGTAACGGTGCCCCTTTCCGACTGATGATGTCGCTCTCGTTCCTCGTCGAAGAGGTTCTTCACTGCATAAAGTTTGTCCGATCCATTCGCCTTTGAACGGGTGTCAATGCCATTGAACAAACTCTAAAGCATTGCCACGGGGAAAGGCTGCTATTCTTTCCTAGCCTTGACACGTGCCAACTAGGCGTCACCTGGGGGGCTACAGGGCGCCCAGCTGCCAAGACCTGGGGGGCTACAGGGCGCCCCCCCGACTTGCCTCGCGAACCTTGTTTTTGACGAATTTGTTACGGCAGTTACGCTAAAAAATATCCATGTCATCCCATTTTCTATCAGCAAAAAATATCATGTAGCACGAGGAAATGTTACAGTCTGTCTTTTTTCGCGAAAATATGGACGCCCCAGGGCAAGCTAAATCAGATATAACTGGATTGGGTGCCAGGAGAACGAAAATTCCTGGTTAAACTGTCACGTCAATAACACGAAATGAATGTATCTTACTTTTCTTCATCTGTGGGAAAAATAATCCTTTTTGAATAGGAACAGGCTCAAATACCTTCGTTCAAAAGGTACTGTTGAAGAGTAGCTTCTGGAAAGAACTACGAAGTATACTCTATGTACAGGGTGTCCATAAAAAAACGTACACTTTTGAAGTTCGATATCTCTGGAACGGTAAGGCATAGGACAGTGATATTTTAGGGGGATACTCAGGGGTCATGTGATTTTATTGGAGAATGTTTTGCAATTTTTTAAAATTTATTTTTAGACCATATTTGCACTTGGCAGTATTGAACCACTCCTGAACAGAATGTAAAAACTTTCGGTCGTAGGTAGAAAAGCCATGACTTTGACTAAGAAGGAGAGTGGAGAACAAATAAAGCTTTCCTACATCAATAAGTGTAATGCTGTTGTTGCCTTACGAAAATACCGCGCAGCACACAGCCTGTGTTTGTGGCCTTGCTCGAGACAAGCTCTGATGAATTTCGTCGATAAGTTCGAGGATACGGGTTGTGTTTGCAACAAGTCACATGGAGGAAGGCCGTGAACCACTGTAGATGTTGTAGTTGAAATCAGAGGTGCGATTCACGAAGAGCCTACCACGAGTGCTTATGAATCGAACAAAGGTTTGGACACGTTCTGAGACACGTTTTAGCTTGTAGAGAGACATTTATAGAGTTCACCTTGGAACCTTGGCACGGTTGAATGGGGAAGATCCAAAAGGCGGGCGACAGCACGACTGCTGCTCGTGCTATGTTCTTGCATCTTAGTCAAAGTCATGGCTTTTCTACCTACGACCGAAAATTATTAAATACTCTTCAGGTGTGGTTCAATACTGTCAAGGGTGCAAATATGGGAAAGTAATAAAAAAATTTTTTTAATTGCAAAACAGTCTCAAATAAAATCCCATGACCCCCTGAACATCCCCCTAAAATTTCACTTTCCTATGCCTTACAGTTCCAGAGATATCGAACTTCAAAAGTGTAAGTTTTTTATGGACACCCTGTTTATCATCATACTTCTCATTTTGAGTTGTGTTGGTGACTTTGGAACAGCCCATAATAATTTTCTCCCTACCCGGACAGGAAATGGGGCAGGGACGGGGACACAGTGACGAATGAGGTGATAAATTTACTCCTTTCGTTTCCTCAAAAATTTGGTGCGGACACTGCTTTTTCATGGGAACAGAGCGGTATGACACCGAATCATCACAAGGGCATGAGTTTCTGGTAGTCGCGGAATCG